GTAGCCATCAATCTGAAGAACTCCTTCCTCTGCTGCCACCTACCAGTTTATTTCTCTGCTGCAGCAGAAGGGTATATAGAAAAAGTTCTTGCTTACTATTCAAGACTAAAGAGAAAAACCTTTAACATGTCACATTTTCACATGTGTAAACTTTTGCATGTCTCACCCAGATATTCCCCCCAAAAAATCATAAACAAAAATCCCAATCACAAAAATCAAATAATGTATGATCAATGTTCATGCTAGTGGGGAAAATTAAAAAAAGAAAGTGAAAAGATTCAGACACCCAACAACTGCCATCTCATTTTCTGTTCTGTCATAGTTTCCTTCTTTACCTTCTTTACAATTTATAGGGTAAATTAACATTTACCCTATAAATGTTAATTATGTAAATGTATAACTCACAAATTTAACTGGGTAGTCTATAACTCCTACAAATTTAAAGTTCTGAGACCACTCAAAGAATTATGGAAGATACGTCAATAGAAAATCGTGCTTTTATTTATTTTTTTTTAAGTTATTCTAGAAACTAAGGGTGTTTAGGTGCTTTACCTGCTTGAGCTTTCAATGTTCTGGACTGCTTATTGCCCAATGGCTCTGAATACATTAAAACACGAACATATACTCCACCTACATTTAAAATAGGGTAGCATTTGTATGCCCATATAAGCACTGAGGTACATATATAGATCTTTTTTTTTTTCAAAAGAGTAATAAATTTAAGTCTTTTAAAAATATTGACCATGAATGCATATTTCCTCAAATTGTATATATATATACATAGAAAATTAGGGGGAAAAGGCAGACAGAATGACAAATGTAATAGCAGTCATAGGAGAATTGGGAATTAACACAGCATCAATGTTTTCTGCTTGTTAAAACCTAAGATTCATTTCTATTCTTGTTCCGTTTGTCATTGGGGGTCTACATTTCAAATTTATTCTATATCAATTATTAAGGAATGATATCTAATAATGAACGGATGGTAACAGTAATGGCTTGTTTTTGTTCCACCCTCCCACTACCTTCACCATAAAATAAATATGCACAATTTTGCCAACTTAAAAAAAAAAGTCAAAATAAAACAAACACTGACATAAGCACCAAAAGCTAGTCAACAGTGGCACTGCAATGACATTGTATCTGCTTTCTCATTCCTTCCCCCATCTCAATCCCCACCCTTTTGACCTCTGTATATGGGATGAGCCTGAGCAGGAGAAGTTGGTGATGTCAGGACTGCGCTGTTCCCACGGATGCTCCTAGAGGCCTGCTGTGCTTCTGGGAACTGGGGCACAGGGATGTCTGTCTGACTGAAACCTAAAACAACAACAGTTCACCCCACCCCTCATGTTCCCAAACCCCACAATTGCAGCCAGGTATATATGCTATATAAGGTCCACCTAATAAGTTTGAATATGGTAAAATCTAAAAGCAAGATCATCCTTTACAAGTCAGTGGTTTGCAGTGGGGGCAGCAGAATGGAGGTTGTTAAACTCTCCATACCCTATGTAATTACATACTACATACATCTTAATGGTGGCCATTCTTAGCAGCAAAAGAACAAGGGTCTCCTGAATGAACCTTTTTATTAGTACACATCATAAATTCCTGCAAGACTGAAGTTGGGACTACTTTATTAATAAATTTCACCTCAACAAATTATTTTTGTCTTAAAATGCTATGGGAGTGACTTCTGCTATCTTTTTATATGACGTAAATGAACATGTGACTTATTACATGCCCTCCCTTTAGCTTTAGAAAGAGAACTAGAGTCAGGATTTCTTTTTAACTAACTAGTAGTTTTTTTAAAAAACTTATAGCCTTTTTGGATAAGAAATTTAAAGCTACAGTATAAAATTATGCAGAAGCATATACAGAAAAGGTACTGGCTACTTTTGCTGCCATTCTAACATACTGGAAATGAGGATTATTTACCAAAATGCAAAAATATGGTAGTTTAAGCTCTCATATTAAAACTAAAACTTGCAGAAGGACAGAAGAAAGGAGGAAAAGGTGGGTGGATGGGGACAGAGAGAGAAGGGGATAAGTCTACTAATAGGAAGGCTACTGAAATGGACAAGTTGCACTCCTACTCCTGTCACTGGCTTTATGATCATCATGAATCTGCTTCACTATGTTGTGCTTCAGTAATGCTTTTCTAACTGTTCAAACTATTCTAACTGTAATTTTTGATTGCTTAAAACCTTGACTTTGTGATAATCTTAAAACTGTTCACATTTATTTCTCTAAGAGCTAGCTTCTCAGAAATGCTAATTACTTCTGATATCACAGTGCTTCCATAACTAAAATGCTTTTTTATTATCTGTATTTCATCATTTATTTCCCTTTTATAATTATGTTATTGAAAGAGAAGCACTAAGGTAATTGAATGCTATGGTGAGTTTTTACCATATATATAACCTACAACCTAATTTTACCTTTTCAAAACTCTAGTTTTCCATACCTGTCAACTCCTAATTGATGTCTTTATACTGTGAGCTCACTGTGTATTCGGAACACCAACCCCTGAAAAAGCTTAAGCCAGAGTAGCACAATGGAAGAAACAAACAAACCCAAAACAAAAACAAAGCCAAAAGTCACACTCTGAAATACTTAATTATAGACATATATGCAAGGAATGGAATTTTCTAAATGGCTAAACAAAATTCCCAAAGAAAAGTTCTGAGTTCATCTCAAATCAATTCAAATGTTACCCACAAAACATCTCCTTTAATCAAATTTGCTAGATATATTTATGCATTATTTTTTTTAAATGACAGTTATGACAAACCCACATTGCCTTTAAAGTGCATAAATAAAGGAAACTTTTAAAAAGAAAAGTAAAGTTAGCCTTGTGATGGAAAGAAAGGAGAGTCAAATTACCTGCAAGCAGGCTGGGGCTGTGCCTGAATCCAAACCGCTGCATTTAGCATTCATTATACAGCTGCATTATTGGGGGAAGGGGAGTTTAGAAGGGCACTGACCCCGAAAGTTCTCAATACTTCTCACTCATCATCAGGAAGGGGGAAGAAGGAAAGTTTTTTCTCTGGGTATTTTTTTGTTTGTTTGTATTTGTTTTTTTGGCTCCTGAAAAGGCTGGCAAAGAACAGTAACAGTGCAAGCAATTAGAATATTTCTTTAAAAACAATTTTAAAAATCCAAAACATTAAGGAATTTTAAAAGCCAAACTTTCGTTAATATAGAAAAATTTTCACTAGAGTTAGACAGCCACCAAAACAGCATGGCAAAAGGGCACTGGTATAAAGGAAATAAAATACCACACAAAAATCGAAAACAAAACTAAAAACATTTCAAATTAAACCTGGAAGACTAGAGATTCCAACAGCAGATTTCTGTCCACTACCGAAATATTCCAATATCCAAGCTTCAAATGCACCTACACTGTATTTTAAATGAAATTTTGTTTTGTTTTGTTTAAGAAGAAAAAAAAGAAAGAGCAGTGAACCTGGTTATAAATCCTGCAATATATTACATATTTTTAAAATCCTAGTACAACAAAAAACAAATTTTAAATAAAATTAAACAAACAAACAAATAAAAACAGTAGCAGCAGAGGTTACCTGTCTGAGCACCTACATTTTCTTAGGAGGGGATCGTGTCTCACCAGCCAAATAGCCCATAAACCTTCTCAAAAAAAGCGAGCCAGGAGAAAAATATAACACAAGGGTTGATTTCACAATGTCTCTAAGCCCCCCAAGCCCCAAAGTGGGGGCTCACTGAACGAAGAGAATTTGTTTTCCCATTGCTTTCTTCTTGAGAAAAAAGGAGATGATTTTGAAAGTCAGTGACTTTTTTCAATGCCTTCGGTACCTTTTCTCAAAGTCTGACAAAGTGCTCCATGAAAGCAAGTCTCTTGTTGGATTTTTCTAATGTTCCAGGGTAGTTTTCTTATTGATAGCATATACAGAAAGATTTTTTCAAAGTTCATTGGAGAAAAGCCAGCAGAAATGACCAATTATAGGCACCAAAAAAGAAAAAAGACTATTAAAAATTTTTAAATGGAAATAGTTCATATGTATAGATAATATAGTAAAAGTCCAGTTTTCATCATGGGTGACATAAAAACAATATCAGAAAGAATTATTTTAAAAATACAATTTAGAATTACAATTTTAACAATATACAAAAATTCAACAATAATTCAGAATTTGGCATGATAATGATTACATATATTTGATAAATACATTTTATCTCTCATAATAGTGAAGATCATACAAAAGTTATTGAACAATTATGAAAATAAATTCAACTACCACTTAAATATCTAATGCTGATATTCACTTTGAGTTCTTCCAGCATGATTTTTTTTCTTGTTCTTTACCTTAATTTTTGAGGAAATTCAAGATACCCATGTTTTTGAAATCTAATATGATCATTCCTAACCTTCTCATTCTAATGTGTGAGTGTGAACTCCAGAAATAGACTGGTCATGTTTTAATATAGTATGAATGCACAGAAAATGGACAAACAGGGAGTAAAAGTATAGGTGAAGATTTCAGATATTTCTTGAAAATGGTTGCTTAATTTGGTTGTTAAAAAATGGCTAACTACATTTTTCCTCATCCCTTACCCACAACACAAAATTAGTTTTTCATCAAATAAGGAGGTTGTTCATTTTGTGTTTTTAAATACATATTAACCTATATACATATGATATATAACTGTTCAAAGTATATGTATCATAATATGTATGGCAACCAGATGGTCTCTACATGAACATATGAATGATAGTTTGATTAAGCAGTTCTTCATTTATTTCTCTATACCAAATAGTATGCACCTTTCAAAATATGGTCATTCGGCAAAAGTACCAAGTATTTATTTTTGTTAATGAGGCAAAGGTACTTATGTGAGTCTGAGTCCCCCAATAACCCTGTGCAAGTCAAATTCTTTTAGATGCAATTAGAATATACTAAAGATAAATTAGAAACTCCTCTTCAGTTATATTTTTTCTCAGGTGAAATGAGACAGTGCACAGATTAGAGGTACTATTCTATTTGTCAACAATCAACCTTTCACTCAATTTTAATAGTATTTAATTCTATGGAAAAAACAAGTTTTATTACATTCCTTTTTAAAACGGGGAAAAACTGTACAAGTAAGCATGATCAAACCTCTGTTAGAGCTGGTTAATACTGATCTTTTATTATTGCCTCGAAGTCTCTCTAGTAGTGTCCAAGAAATTATGTTAAGGTCCATCTGAAGGAAAAATAGCACTGGAGAGGCAAGGAAGGGCTTGGGTAAAAGCTTCAGAGGATTTGTAGGGAGATGGAACTTGCTGTTTAAAAAATTATGTTGAGCTCTGTAGCACCTCCATTTCTTAACATACCTTCCAAACCCATCATTAAGATAATTTAACCAATGTTATAAAGGCTCATATTATATGCAGTTCTGGGGCTTTTGTGATTCAGAAAATAAAGAAATAAAAAGAGTGGTCAGTACTGAAGGCTTAGGAGTAGGGCTATATGAGACTCAATACTGCTAATTTAATCCCCAAATAAAAACATCCAGTCTACCCAACCCCAAATCCTATGTGTAAAAAGAGAAAATGCATAGCCATGAGCATTGACAAAAAGCATGTAGCTTTGAATAAATCATACACCGAACAGTCTAGAAACAAAGGAAAAAACCAAACAACATACATATAATACACATGAAGGCCTAAGAAGCACCTATTCTTATGTCTTTAGGTGACTACCTCTACCCCAGTGGAGTCTAAGTCATGAAAACAATGCATCTGTTTTTTAAAGTAAAAAACTGTGTTTCCCATCATGCTCCATTCTCTATAATCTATCCTTTTTGTTTGGTTGGTATAAATAAAAGCAAAACACAAACACATGCATGCGTGCACACACATACATATATACTCCCTTGTAAAATGTGAAAAATGCAAATATGTAACGCTGGCGTTAGAAAACACTTTAGCTTTATACTTAAGAAATTATAGGTCCCTGATGTGCCCCCCAAAAATATTTTTCCTTGTCCTTATTCTTTAAATGTCCAACCACAAAGAGAAAAACAGAAAAAAAATAAAAGGTTTTAAATGTACATGTTTCAAGTCAATGTCTTGTTAACAAAAAGGTAGCATTTTTTTTTCCACTTTGGCCATTATTAAAAGATGCAGGCATAGAGCAGGGAATGTTAGACTAGCATGTATTAAAAAAAAAAAAGTAACATTAACAGAGCATATATCTTTCAAAAAAGACTAAAACACTAACAAATACAAGTCAATGCACATATTTTAAACTAGCGTAACTTTATCTACATTGAGTAAATGTTATTTTGTATACCAGACATTGCAATACTGTTCATTTCTCTGTCATCATGCAAACATGCCAATTTTGTCATTAAAAAAATGTCTTTATTGGGTTATATTTAGTTTGCCCTCCCACCCAAATTAAGGGGAAAAAACAAAACATAAAAATGAAAAATACCAATAAAAGAGCCCCTTAAGATTTCATAAACAACTATGAATTAAAGCTGCTATTTAACAGCAAAATGGTAGAATTTTCAGATTTACAGATTAAAAATTCCTGTAATTTAGGCAGATGTTTTCCTCGCTCTTTACAAATTTTCAAACACAGTGTAAGGTTATGCTATCGGATATTTGAACCAAATCAATGTTTTGTATAAAAACAAAAGGAACCATGAACAAAATTTTCATGTGCCTCATGGCCTGAAAGCATACAGTTTCTGGTAATTTAAAAAGTAACTAAGAGAGCCTCCTGACATCATTCTATCCCACCTCTTCTGCCTCTTTGTAGAATCTGTAAATTAGTCAGTAATATCTTATTAGCAAAGGTCTCATCTATTTCCCTCTTCTCTCAACTAATCCTACTAATTTTCCTCTCATCCTCCTGAGCATCCTCCATGAACAGCATTGCAAGTTGGCTTAAAAAAGAAAAGGGAAAAAAGAAAAAGAAGGTTTTACAAGGGTTTTGTTGGTTAATTATTTACCAGTGGAGTCACTCCACTAGGAGTTTGATTTCATTGGCTAGCAGCTGGTTCATGTTGAATAGGCCCCCTGGGAGCTTGGTGAGTAGCTCTCGCTCCGTGCTTTCAGGGTCACTGTCGACAGAGCTGGAACTTGCGCTCATGTTGTCGACAGCAGTGCTGGCAGGGGGACCCAGCTCCGGCTCACTAGTCTCACTGGCCGTGGACACCACGGAGAGCAGGGACATACGCCGGGTGAGCCGGCCAGAGGGCAGAAGGGAGGCGGCATAGTCTGCTATGATACCAGCTACATCTAGATTACAAGCCTTATCAAAGGCGATGAAACCTACATTTGCATTGGCCTCGCAGACACAGAAGGAGCCGTCATCTTTCATCAACAGGTCAATGCCACACACATCCATCCCCAGGATATTAGACACCTGGATAGCTAGCTGCTTTCCTTGTTCACTCAATGAACACATCATTCCCACACCACCTGGCAAAGGAGAAACAAGAAAAAAGTTACCAAAATAACAAAGTTTTGAAGTAAAACTGATGTTAGTCTCATAAGGCTAATCCTCTCTTCTAATTCTGTAATGAAAACAAAGGTGCTATTCTAGTATATAACTGGAATTTTGGACTCTAGATTTACTGCATTAGAGATTCTGTCCTTATCTAGTCTCTTAAAGAATTGACTTTAGCACTTTTTCAATGTTACTTTTTCTGAGAAAGTCATTAAACTTTCTCTAAAGCACTTTCATATTACCTGCAATAATATGAACCTAATACAATGCTCATTGATAACCAACAGGAAGTGGTTCCACCACCATCCAAATACAAAATCTACACATGCTGAAGTCTCATACAAAATGATGTAGTACAAAATTTAAAATAAGCTCTAGATTATTTACAATACTGAATACAATGTAAACACTGTATACAAAGTTCTTATACTGTACTGTTTAGGAGTAATAATCCCAAAATACCTCCAACATGTTCAATACAACATCATCACTGCAGGCCTAACTGCACATTACAAAAAGAAGACTCAAGATGAACAATGCTCAAACAACAAGTGTGGGGAGAGACCAAGGATCTGTCATATGGCAGGAGACTACAGCAGGGTATGCCCATACATCACTTGATTTGCAGATTAGTTAGCACATGGCAAACTCAAGGTTTGTTTTTGGAATTTGATGGAATAAAAATATATATTTTCAATCTGTAGTTTGTTAAATCTTTGGAAGCAGAACCTGTAGATATAGAGTGATAATTATATAATGAACTTTTGCACAAAAACAGTTAGGCCACTTTCTGTTACAAAAGAAAAAACTTTTATAAATTTTTAATTTGAAAAAGACAGCTGAGATGAAAAATAAAGACCTAGGAAAGAATGGCTGAACATGGCTCTGTTCCTCTATACAACCTACACTCTAATTTATCTTGCCATTCCTAAAATAAAAAAGCTTCTGGGTTGTTAACTAGTTGAACACGGTGATTTATGGGCTTTGCTGTTATCTGAGAGAAATGAAGCAGAACTAGGTTCTCTCTTGGAGACTAGCTTCAGGATTCTGAAGAGAGAAAGAAGGAAAAGACCTTTGAGAAAAGTTTGAGTGAAATAGCTCTGTGCATTCACAGAAGTATCTCTAACAATATTACATGAGCACGCTTTTCTCCTTGAATTCAAAGAGGCCAAAGAGTAGCTAGATTGATGTGCTGAGTCCTCCCCTACCAGTTCTAGAAACAAAGCTTCCCAGTGTCTGCAGAGGACATACATAATATGATGCAAATAACCAGAGCTGAGTGAGCCCTGATGCAACAACAAGATAAAAAGCAATCTACCACTTGAATGAAAGAAATAAGAAGTTAATGAGATTCAAGTTCAATTTAAAAAGACTTTCTAAAGCAAAAACAAAACATGATTTCCCAACTTAAAAAATTCAGAAGAGAACATCCAAGAATAGCAGTGCATACCTGTAATCCCAACTACTCAGGAGACTGAAATAGGAGGATCTCAAGTTTGAGGTCAGCTTGGGCAACTTAATGAGACTGTCCCAAAATTTAAAAAAAAGGCTGGGGATACAGCTCAGTGGTACAGCACCAAGTACGGAACGAAAAAATTCAGTAGAGGAACTTAAGGAAAGTCATTATGTTTGTACACAACTGTTAATTCCAGCAACTCAGGAGGTAGAAGGATTGCAAATTCAAGGCCAGCTTCAACAATTTAATGAGGACCTCAGCCATGTTTCAAAATTTAAAAAGGGCTTGGGATGTAGCTCAGAGTAAAGCACCCTTGGTTCAATCCCCAGTATCACTGGTGGTAGTGGTGATAATGATGACCATGATAATAAATGGGAACTGAAGGAGAGTACAGTCATTTTTGAGAAATCACTTAGAAAATCAAGGGTAAGAAAGAGAAGACTCAATTTAATAAGATTAAAGATGAAAAAGGAGATATCACCATAGAATCTTCTAAAATCCAAAGGATTATCAGAACCTATTTTGAAAGCTTCTACTCCAATATACTAAAAAATCTAGAAGATACTGACAAATTTCTAGACACACATAACCTGCCCGAATTGAATCAGGAAGAAGATATACATTATAATCAAGTGAATGAAACTGAAACAGCAATTAAAGCCTTAGAAAAAAAAGAAAAGCTCAAAACCAGATGGAATATCAGCTGAGCTCTAACAGACTGTACAGAAAGATTAATACCAATCTTTCTCAAACTATTCCATGAAATTAAAGGGAGAGAACACTCCTAAATACATTCTATAAAACTAGTACAACTCTGATACCAAAACTAGACAAAGACACATCAAGGAAAGAAAACTATGGATCAACACTCCTGATAAATATAGATGCAAAAATCCTTAACAAAATATTAGCTAACCACATTAAAAAACACAGAAAAAAGATAGTTTTCATGTAAGTTTCATTCCAGAGATACAAGGTTGGCTCAACATACACAAATCAATAAATGTAATTTACCACTTAAAAAAAAGTAAGGGCAAGAATCACATAATCATCTTAAAAGATGCAGAAAAAGCCTTTGATAAAATTCAGTATCCATTCACATTAAAAATGCTTGAGAAGCTAGGGTTTGAAGGAACTTAGCTCAACCTCATAAACGCCATAAATTCATGACAAACCCAAAGCCAACATCATACTGAATGGAGAAAAACTAAAAGAATTTCCTCTAAAATCAGGAAGAAGGCTGTCCACTCTCACCACTCAATATACTCCTTCTAACACTAGCCAGGGATCAGGTAAGAAAAGGAAATCAAAGGGATACAAATAAGAAAAGAAGTCAAACTATCTGTTTGCAATGACATGATCCTCTATCTAGAAGACCCCAAAAAAACTTCATCAAAAGATTTCTAGTGCTTATAAATGAGTGCATCAAAGTAGCAGGATACAAGATCAACACCCATAAACCCACAGCTTTCCTGTACTCCAACAGTGATTCAGTCAAAGGAGAAATCAGGAAAATCATTCCATTCACAACAACCTTAACAAACAAACAAATAAAAAAACTTTGGAATTAATATAACTAAGGAGATAATTTTACAATGAAAATTATATAACTAATTCCTTTCAAATTCTGTGTGCTCCTACTCTATATCCTATATTTTCAGAAATAAGTCTTTATGTTGAATTTCAAGCTTATCAATACACTGCTTTTTCTTTATAGTTTTATAATGTTTGCATTCTTAACTATGCACTGTTAAGTTTTGCTGTATATTTAAATTTTACATAATAAGGAATCAGACTACATATATTCTCCTCTGACTTGCATTTATTCAACATGATGTTTTTGAGATTCATCCATGTGGTTGTAGATCTCAGAAAAGTAACTAGGAATAAAATTATGTAGGGTCTAGTAGCCACTATATAAACTTGTTTTTCTCTAAATTAAATGGGGAGCTACTAAAGGACTGTGAGCAAGATCTGATTTGTCTTGCAATATACAGTAATCCTCCCTCATCTGTGGGAAATATGTTGTAAGACACCCCTCTCCTTACCATAGATGCCAGTAATTGTGCATACCAAACCATTTACTATGTTTTTTTTCCTACAATACCTAGCTATGTTAAAGTTTATTTATTAATTAGTCAGTTAGATATTAACAACAATAATAAAAATTGACAATCATATTGTAATAAAACTGCCCCAACACTACTATTCTTGTACTTTGGAATCATTGTTTAGTGGTTAGTCAATCTGATAACCAAGTTAAAGGTGGGTATTTCGTACAATGTAGATATGCTATACAAAGGCATGATTCATGTCCTAGGTGAGATGGAGGATATCACCAGAGAGTGTAAAACTTCATATACTTAGAATGGTGCATAATTTAGAAGTTACGTATAATTCACTTATAAAATTTGCTAGTTTTTTCATACTATAAATGAAATAATGAAAAGTGAAACATAAATAGCGAAGAGAATTACTGCTGTACAAGGATCTGTTGTATCACTACTTTGTTAGGAAAAGATGAGAAGAACACAATCCAGAAGACCAATTAAGGGGCTATCAAGGTAATCCCAATAAAGGAAAAATACACTGCTTTTTCTTTATAGTTTTACAATGTTTCCATTCTGAAATGCAATGGTGAGAAATGGCAGATTTGAATATATTTGGAGAGACTAAAGATTTCAAGGAGTTCTTAACACTTTGCAGTTAAAGAAAACAGGGGGATTAGGATGACTAGATTTTTGTCTAATCTGAAGAACAGAGTATTCATTGAATGATGAGAATATTGTGGGTAGAACATGAAGTAGGATGGACAGATCAGGTGTTCAAGAATGAACATGGTCAGTAGTTAGTTACTTGTATGAGCAAGGAATTCAGGGATAAAGGCTAAATCAAAGATACAAATTCGAAAATAATAAGCATATGATGGTATTTAAAGTCCGGAGCTAGATTACTAAGTAAGTGATATAAACAGGGAAGAGGAAAATTGAAAGGCTAACCTCTGATGCACTTCAGTTAGAGATCAAGGAAAAACACTTCAATTAGAGATCAAGGAAAACACATATTTTTAAAAACTATTTATTTTTTAATTGTAGTTGGCACAATATATTTTATTTATTTCTATGTGGTGCTGTGGATCGAATCCAGGGCCTCGCACATGCTAGGCAAGCGCTCTAATGCTGAGCCACAACCCCACCCTGGAAAACACATAATTAGGTAAATCAGAATCAGCAATCTTGTTTGGACTGCTAAGTAAAGTAGGTCATAACATAACATTCAGGCCATAGCCTGAATAAATTCCACTTATATATAAGATAAATATATCTCCAAAGACAAAAACTCTTAAATTTGGTTGGATATCTCATACATGTATTAACTCAGGTTATAAATTCAACCTGGGTGACAGTAAATTTTCATGATCAGAGAATTCTAACTCCATAAAAAAAAAAAAAAAGTATATTGAATTTACGGCATGTTTAAAAATTGTTAAAAAAAACTTATTAAGTAAAAAGGCCTATAGCTGTATACAAATACAGGACAAAAGCTATAACATTTACTTTGTATATCAGAAAGACTCCTGCATTACTTTTACCTAGTGAGCAGTTGCTTTGCATTCTCCCATCTGTTGAACAACGTAACATGGTACCAACAACACGGCCTCCGACAACAATAACTCGCACATCCCGTCCATGAGACTCTTTAACATACTTCTGGAACAGGTATGGAGCTTCATGACGAATAAGATGGCTTAGATCAGCCAAATGATGTTTATCTCGAGCCAAGAAAACAGCTTTACCTGTGATTTAAAAAGAATAATATATACACATAAGTCAAACTGTGGGCAGTTAATATCTACTACCTGCACATTCTTGAGTACCAATCAAAACTAATTACAGCTGGGCATGATAGTGCTTGTCTATAATCTCAGGGACCTGGGAGGCTAAGGCAGGAGGACCACAAGTCTGAGGCCAGCATCAGCAACTTCGTGAGATCCTGTCACAAAATAAAATAAAGAGCTGGGGATATAGCTCAGTGGCAAAGTGTCCCTGGGTTCAATTCTTGGTATAAAGAAAAAAAGGAAATAAAAAATTACACTTTTTAAAGTTTTCCTTGTTAGAATGTAATTTAATTATAATTAATGAGATAATACAAGAATGTTTAAGGACAAAGCTAATAATCTTCTTCTACCATTCCCTCAACCTCCATACTTTATGGTAAACTAGAACTCATTTTGGCAAATGCTGAAAGGTAAAAATCCAGAGATTAGCCAATAATGCTAGTATCATTTATTAACAAAACTTTTCCCTCTGAGTTAGAAGTATAAGTGTCATATACTATTGTATAATATTAATACTGTATTAGTATGGAGTAACAGCATGGTATTATACATGTCAACTTATTTCTAAATTCATTAGTCTGTTCTACTCCTATTTTTGTGCCAATCAAAGTAGCTCTTTTTAAATGTAATTATAAATTCCTTTCTTGGGGGACAAAACCCATGTCCCTTCTGATTCAGTCAACAGTTCCAGCTAAACTGATCCAGCCATCCCAGTCAAAGCACTAAATTTGTACTGTCCTCATGTTTATAAATCATTTTATGCCTTAAACATTCTTCCCTTAACTTGAAGTCATTACATATTTTCACAGACTCTTATAAAAAGACTTATAGTTTGCCTTAAATATCCAAGAATTTAAACTTATAAATTGGGAGGGAGATGATTTAAGTTAGAGATCTAAGGTGTTCAAATTTTTAAGAAGGAAGATAAAAGTAATTAATTTGAGGCTTACTATGAATGTGCATGTAAAACATCTAGAACAACTCTAAACAGAAACAGCTTCTAGTTAAACTTATATTGCAATAACCACCTAGAAGTGTGACATGTCATGTACCTATCAATTTCTCTTTATTCTTCAGCATTCTGTTACAAAAATCACCCTTACTAATTTTCAAAAATAATTTAAAAATTCTGTATCATGTCAAGAACTTATATAATACCTCTATGACCCCGTGTATTCTTCACTACCATTGGGAACTCCAGTACTTCTGCTTCATCAATCATTTTAGCAAAATTTTCATGGCCACCTGGTTTAGGCAAAAAAAAAGAAAGAAAGAAATCTAAGAACAACAGAAGTATTTTGTGAACAGTTTTATGGAGGCCAAAAATAAATAGTTCAGGAAGGTAGAAAGTAAGAGTCTATATGTAGCTAATGTTTTCTTGCAGGACACAAGTAAGTTGAAAGTATTACCCAGTTATCAGTTTTAAAAAACTACTCCTTGTAAAACAGGTAATAGCTTTCTTAAACTGTACATATTCTGATATCCAACCTAAAGAAAAAGTGTCTTTCAGTTAAAAATAATATCATTTTTTATATTTTTAATATTGTAACCCTCTACCACACAAATAACCAAAGCCACAAGATTTAATATATACATTCCTTCCTCAGATTAAGAAACTAAACAACGAAGGCTGGATAAGGTGTAGCTCAGTGGTAGAATACTAACTAGGCCCTGTACTCAATCACCAATACTGGGGCCGGGGG